CTACCCCCCCCCCCAGATCCAATTCATTAGCCAGTTCTATCAGCCCTACCTCGAAAATATGGCTACAACTTTATTGTTACCATGTGTGCAGCTTCCACCCTGCACCAGCCATTCGAGCTCAGCCTCTCCACAGCCCCTTCTCCATCCAGCGGGAAGACTAACCTTCCACAACTGAAGTCATCCAACTGGTGACAAAGTCTAAGCTTCTCTGACCCACCAGTCTCTCTCTTGCCTGGACCCTGCTGACTCTGACTTCATTCTGCTGCTCCACATACCACCCTCCAACCAGCCTGCTCTCCTTCCTGGTCCCATGTAGGTCAAGACTCCTCCACTTAAGATCTCGGGGCCTTTGCTTGGAGCTGCTTAAGGTAAGCTCCCTCGCCCCAGGTTTTGCAGCGCTTGCTCTCTCGTTTTCTGTAGGTCCCTCAGGGGATACCTTCAGAGAGCTCCCTCCCTTGCCTGCCCTATTTAAAATAGCCCCGCTCTGAACTCTGCCCTTCTCCTGCTGCCTCGACTTGTCCCACAGCATAAACGCACAAGTAACTTGATACATACATTGCCATCGCGTTCACTCAGACTCGAGGCGACTCCATGTGTGTCCAAGTAGAACTCTTTGCTCCCTAGAGACTGAAGAGCCATCGGGAGGAAACAGACTGCCAGGGCTTTCTTCCTTGGTGCCGCTGTGGGGGTGGGTGGGATTCAAAGTACCAATAATTTGGTGGGTCGCTGACTACAAATCATTTGTGCCACTCAGCAATCTGTCACCGGATAATAATTTGCTTCTGGTCTATCACACTATCCGTGGTCTACCCATACTCACTAACGGCTCTGTTCAACCACTGTCTCCCCAGTGCTTACAATTGAGACCTGGTGGCAAGAGGAGGAATGGATAGCAGTCCCTGTTAGTTCTCCGTCGAGGGCTGCCCAGTGACTGACTTCTACCTTGTGTGTCTCCTTCCAGGGGAAGCGTGGCCCAGACGTGGAGGATTTTGCTATGAGAGCAGTCCCCTTGCAGAGTCAGCACTTCCCCTTGCTGTCACCGCCCCGCCAGCCCCCTGCCCTGCCCTGCCTGTCCTCCGCTCCAGGTTACCATGGGCAGCGTCAGTAGCCTCATCTCTGGCCACGGCTTCCACAGCAAGCACTGCCGGGCTTCCCAGTACAAGCTGCGCAAGTCCTCCCACCTCAAGAAGCTCAACCGCTATTCCGACGGGCTGCTGAAGTTTGGCTTTTCCCAGGAATCGAGTCATGGCAAGTCCGGTTCCAAGATGGGCAAGAGCGAAGACTTCTTCTACATCAAGGTCAGCCAGAAGGCCCGGGGCTCCCACCACCCAGACTACACTGCCCTGTCCAGTGGGGACCTGGGCCAGGCTGGGGTGGATTTTGGCTTGTCCACTCCACCCAAGCTCATGCCCTTCTCCAACCAGCTCGAAATGGTAAGCGGGGCGCTTTGGCAAAGGGAGGAAGGGGTGGAGAGCACGGTGGAGCTGTCGGGTTTGGGGTGGGTTGGGGGAGAGTCTCGGAAACATTCAAATCTCCAAAGAGATAGGGGTAGTGGGGGTGGTGGCACCCCAGAGATAAATGTCTGGACAAGGAATCGGTACACCGGTCAGTCCCCTAAACCAGAAGGTGGGGGCAGCTCTTCAGCAAAGAGCAAATGGAGAAGTCAGAGTCCTCCTGCGCTCTCCTGGTCACGGATCTGGACCGTTGGGTAGGACAGACAGCCTCATCCACCAGCACGTGAGCTGAAGAGGAAATTTTGTATCGTCTGTAAGAGCAGATGGCAAGACAGCATTTGCGGCTTCAGCCTGGGGTCGATGTGGTACACCGCCATGACTGTGCTGGTGGTCACCTACTGTCAAGTTGGCCCCCAATTCATGGCACGGCAGTATGCACACTGGCGGGTCCTCTGCCAGCTCTGTGACCATTTGGGGCTCGGACTCTCGTGACACATAGGGTTTCCATGGGCTGGTATTCGTAAACAGATGGCCAGGCCCTCCTCCCGAGTCTGACTGTGAGTTCCCCTGGAGCCTCCCCAGCATCGTAGCAGCACACATTTCCACTGACAGACAGGTAATAAAACTGTACACGAAGGGTCCTAGCCGGGAGCCGAGCCCAGGTCTCCCGGCATTGGCATGGCAGGTGAGAATTCCAGTGCTGTGGAGCTGGGGCCTTTACCTCGTTTGCGGCTCTGATGGTGCAGCGTGCTTCCCACACCAGCCTGGCCTGGAAGTGTCTTTGGCTGGGTGAGGGCTATGCGTTTGCCATGACCGTGAGTTTCCCAGGGGTGCTGACAAAAGTGCCCTAAACATGCAGCAATTCAGCCCTGGTTTCAGCTCAAGTGTCCCGGGAACACAGGAAAGTAACCCAAAAAAACAATTTTCCTGTTCAACGCTCCTTCCCCACCCCACCTGCAGGGCATGGTAATATGAGAGAAATGGCCCCTTCTGCTTGAAAAGAGCCTTAAGCTTTGAAAACTAGAGTACTTTGTAAATGGTGGGGAACTCTACCAATGGAAAGTGTTTTAAGTTTTTTCCCCAAGGCTTATAACTTCCAGTGATCCTCCCGCATCCTGCGAGGGGCGGGGCCAGTGGTCTTGCTCCAGGTGCGGGTGAACAAAGAGAATGCCCTCACCTACCGACCTCAACCCTGTCCAGGCCAGGACCTGAGCCCCCCAGATGCAGCACCCCCCAGAGAGCCAGAGCCAAGGACTTGCTTCGTCTCAGCCAAGGAACCCAAAATGCTGTCTCTGGGCTGGGCAAGCTGCCGGAAGGAGGCACCTCATTGCAGTGGGCTTGGGCCATCATTAAGGCCGTCCATCTTCCAAGGGGGTGCTCTTCGGAGAGATTGACCAGGAAAGGCTGCAACAGGGAGATTTCTGGCCAATGGCCAAGAAGAGGGTAGAGTGGGCTGAGCTGGGCTCAGGTGTGGGCCCCAGGGGCAATACACAAACCGTGGTGTGTGTGTGGGGGGGGGGCAGAGATGGGGTGAGTGCTGCAGGCAGGGAGACACCGGGATCTCTGTGGTCTGTTTCCTCCCAGGGCTCAGAGAAAGCAGTGGCGCGGCCGACCGCCTTCAAGCCCATGCCAGCCCGCTCTGGAGCCCTCCTCCACTCCTCCCCCGAGAGCGGCAACCACCAGCTGCACCCGGCGCCCCCGGACAAGCCCAAGGACCAGGAGCTGAAGCCCAGCCTGTGTTCCGGGGCGCTGTCCGACTCTGGCCGGAACTCCATGTCCAGCCTGCCCACACACAGCACCAGCAGCAGCTACCAGCTGGACCCGCTGGTCACCCCCGTGGGGCCCACCAGCCGATTTGGCGGCTCAGCCCACAACATCACCCAGGGCGTCGTCCTGCAGGACAGCAACATGATGAGCCTGAAGGCCCTGTCTTTCTCCGATGGGGGCAGCAAGCTGGCCCACCCGGGCAAGGCGGACAAGGGCCCCTCGTGCGTGCGCGCCCCGATCTCCACCGACGAGTGCACCATCCAGGAGCTGGAGCAAAAGCTGCTGGAGCGGGAGGGCGCGCTCCAGCAGCTGCAGCGTAGCTTCGAGGAGAAGGAGCTGGCCTCCAGCCAGGCCTACGAGGAGCGGCAGCGGCGCTGCAAGGAGGAGCTGGAGGGCCTGGAGCAGAAGTGCAGCAGCAAGTTGAAGCAGGCGTCGCAGAAGAGCCAGCGCACGCAGCAGGTGCTGCACCTCCAGATCCTGCAGCTCCAGCAGGAGAAGCGGCAGCTCCGGCAAGAGCTCGAGAGCCTCCTGAAGGAGCAGGACCTGCTGGAGAGCAAGCTGAGGTCCTATGAGAAGGAGAAGACCAACTTCGCCCCCGCACTGGAGGAGACCCAGTGGGAGGTGAGGTCGGCCAGATGGTGGGGGGTGGGGGTGGGGGGCACTTGGGGCTGCTTTCCCATCCTCACCTCCAGGTTCTGGCCCATAACGGGTGAACTCAAAACTGCTCAGGCGGACCGGACTAACGCTTCATGACCCCCGTGAAGGGACTCCCTGAAAAGCCCTGATTAGCGCGGGATCCCCAGTGTCTCCTTGTGGCTTGATGTGACTAGCCGAGGCAGAGGCTGAGAAGCTGGAGCCGAGGGAACCCAGATGTGGCTAGGCTGCCCAAGGACCAGCCTGCCTTCGTCTGCTTCCAGAAGTGTCAGAAGAAACACAGGACATGGCCGTGTTCATGCCGGGCCAAGCGCAAAGTGCCTGGGGAACAGGATAGAATTTACCTATTGTTTCTTAAGGAAGTGACCCCCCCTGCTAATAACAATGACCCCATTCATGGCAGCTCTCGGTGACAGTATTAGCCAATCCTTAAAAAGGTGCTAGTGGAAACCTCTGTTGGATGGCCCGTGGTGCACACATAGAAGAAGAAAAGGACACGTGTATGCATGTGCACATAACACACACACACATCACATACACTTAGGAATTCAGTAACAGACTAGGCCTTGTGGAAGAACAAGTGTAACCCCACACACCCTGCTCATTATGAGGAAGATTTTCTCACCTGGAACACCCTGGGGATGGTGTGAACTGCACCTGGTAGTTCCGTGATGCACCCCCCAAAGACCGCAGCCCTGAGGAGGGAGTTAGGGCTGTACATGTTGTGCCCTCTACATGAGGGCCGAGGTAGACCAGCTCCCTCAAGAGCACAGCAGTACCCCCTGCATCTCACATACAAATTGAGATTCAACCCCTGAATTGGGGATGAGGTGTACCTGTGGGTGGACTAAACTGGACTGGGGACTAAAAAGACCTCTTCCCAAGGCCTTGACCTTCATGTCAAGGGCCCTGGTAGCACAGTGGTTCATCCCTTGACTGGTAACCCAAGGACTGGTGGTTCGGACCCACCAACCACTCAGTGGGGCTAAAGCTATGGCAGCCTGCTTCCATGAAGAGTCACAGCCTTGCACCCCGGAGGAGTTCTGGCCTGATGATTCACTCTGAGTGGAGATCTCGATGATTGGCGTAGCTTAAGGTCTGGCCTTCTGGCGTCATGCAGACCGCCCTGTCTGGGGACTCTTAACTAAGGCTCCGACTCGGGATGACTCTCTGTCCTCGCAGGCAGTTAAGATGCAGCTCCTCCTTGGTGGAGGGCTCTCACCTCTTGGCGCTCACCGCTTCTGTTTTTCCTTGGCAGGTGTGCCAGAAGTCCGGTGAGATCTCCCTCTTGAAGCAGCAGCTGAAGGAGTCCCAGGCGGAGGTCAATGCCAAGGCCAGTGAGATCCTCAGTCTGAAGGCGCAGCTGAAGGATGCCCGGGGCAAGCTGGAGGGCATGGAGCTGAGGACCCAGGACCTGGAGGGTGCGCTGCGCACCAAGGGCTTGGAGCTGGAGGTCTGCGAGAACGAGCTGCAGCGCAAGAAGAACGAGTCCGAGCTACTGCGGGAGAAGGTCAGCCTGCTGGAGCAAGAGCTGCTGGAGCTGCGGGCCCAGGCTGCCCTGCAGCGGGAGGGGGCCCCCTTGCGAGGTGGCCCGGGGGCCGGGGCTGCCTTCTCCGAGGACATCCCTGGCCTGCAGCGGGAGCTGGAGAGGCTGCGGGCTGAGCTGAAGGAGGAGCGGCAAGGCCACGACCAGCTGTCCTCAGGCTTCCAGCACGAGCGGCTGGTGTGGAAGGATGAGAAGGAGAAGGTGATCCAATACCAGAAGCAGCTGCAGCAGAGCTACCTGGCCATGTACCAGCGCAACCAGCGCCTGGAGAAAGCCCTGCAGCAGCTGGCCCGCGGGGAGGGTGCCGGGGAGCCCCTGGAGATTGACCTGGAAGGGGCCGACATCCCCTACGAGGACATCATTGCCACCGAGATCTGAGGGCCATCTGGGTAGCGGGCAAAGGAAGGCAGAGACCTGGCCTCAGGGACAGGACTCCTGGTGCTGTGGCTCTGCCAAGTTCTGGGACACAGAGAGCCCGGGTGGGAGGGAGGGTTGAGACACCCCCTTCCCGCCCCTTCCCATGCCCTAGTGCTCGCTAGCCCTGTGTAGAACACACCTAAGATGGGCTTTGCCTCCATCCCCCCCACCCTCCCACCTCCGGCCTTGCCAGTGACTGAGGTACAGGGACTTTATACTGTGGTTAAGCGTTCCCTCACGTGAGGCCTTGGGGTGGGGAATGGGGGCCTGATAGCCACTGGCAGCAGAGCTAGCCTCTCCTGGGGAAGTTGGTGACTACCACAGAGGCTGTGTGAGACCCAGCCCAGCCCCTCCTCATTCCTCCCCTCACTCCCCTGCCCCAAGAGAGCGTGGGATGCCTTGGGAAAAGAAAGAAGCCATTTCTGACCAGAAGCCTTGGAATCTGACCTCACCATAACCTGAGCTGTTTCCTTCTGGCTGCAGAGGTAGGGTGGTTGGAGTTGGGTGAGCCCGGCAGCCCAGGGGTGGGGAGACCTGGCAGGACCTGGCGGAAGTGAAAAGGAGGTGCTGTACGGTGCCTGGGACCCGGGTGCCAGCTCCTACCTGCTGGGTCTGGAGGGAAGAGCAGCCTCAGGACAGTTGGTGGCCTTTGGCTCACGGACAACTCTGCATGAAGCCATGGGGGGGAGGCCCTGGAAGGGGTTCTGGGAAGGAAGTTTGAGGGCAGCCTGGTGCAAGGAAGGTCACCTGGTAGGACCCCAGGTAGCTCATTCCCTCCTGGTTTACAGTGGGCCACTGGCTGCTCTGGGTCTTTCCTAAGGATCCTCCCTTTGCTGACCATCCCAAACCAGACAAAAAACAAGCTGCTTGCCCTTGGGTGGGCTTCGACTCCCGGCGGCCCCAACACTTACAGAGCAGAACTCTGTTGTCAAGTCTCTTGGGTTTCATCGATAGCGAAGCAGATCACTAGCTCTTCCTTCTACACAGCTACTGGGAGGATTCGAACCACCAACCTTCCAGGTAGCAGCTGAGACCAACTGTTCTGTGCCACCCAGGGGCCTTGCTTACCACCCAGAGTAACCCGCCCCCACTAAGTTGGTACATGTATGATCTGGGCATTCTGTGGCCCCTCAACCTGCTTTTTTCTGCATAGTATCTTGCATGCTAAGTTCAACCAAGAGGCGTACAGGCTAGGAGGGGCCCCACGTGTAGCGAGGGGCCCGAGAGCAAGACGCGCACATGCACAGCCTTAGGAAGATCTCAGGGCCACAGGCTCCCTTCCCTTCACCACGAGCCCCTCCTGAGCCCCAGAACTCTACAGAATCCGGAGAGTGGCATCCTCTCCCCAGGGGTAGGCGTTCTCTTCTGGGAGGCGCAGAGCTGGGAGGGAAGAGGTGGAGTTTCTCAGTTGCTTGGTGCAGGAAATGTTCTCTCTCTGTTTCTTGCCTTTTTCCAAAGCAAGCAGATCTAGCAGGCAGCCAGGCTGCTCCCTGTGCTATTTTTGACTCTCACCACAGCTGCTCTTCTTAAGGCGCCAGCCCTTGTTGGGTCCCTGAGCCACCGCCTGCCTGCTGAGAGGGCTGGCTGAGCTGAGAGGAGTCGGGAATGGGAGAGGCCCAGACCGTACTTCACTTCTGCCTCTGAGGTCCTGGGGATGGGGGGTGGGGGTGCTTCTGCTCCTCTGGCCTCCTGTCCCACCCCCACTGCTTCCTTAGGGGTGGCTGAGGACAGGGCCACCTTCCTGGGGGTGGCTGGCTGTCTTAGGGCACCAGGGTGAAACCGTGCCTGCCCTCTGCCTCGGATGACAGGAGAGGTTTTCTGGAATGTGAAGCCATATGGCTCAGTCATCGGCCAGGTTTAAACCTGGCAATTGATATGCCTCAACCCCCCTATTGTGCTCCCTCAGATGCCCCCAGTCCGTTTCCTCCATCCCACACCAGCCTGTGCCTTGTTTGCGTCCTCCTTCCCCATTACAGTGAGCCACGAGGACACAAGGGCTGACTGCCATTTACTTGGGGGGGCGGGTACCCCAGTGACTGGCAGCCAAAAAAGCCCAGGGCTCTGCCCCCAAGGCCTGGCCTCCCAAAAGGGAAGGGTCACTGCTGTGTAAAGGCTGCCCCTGTGTGGTGTCCCCATCCCCTCCCCACACAGGCTGGCCTGGCCTGTGGTCTGAGCTGGCTGATGCCCTCCTGGGGCTGCACCAATCCAAGCCCCCAGGGTGGCTCATGTGCCCTAGCTGGTCCAGAGTACACAGGGTCCTGTAGCATGGCGACATTGTTTCACGGGGCTTTTCTTCCCTCCCCTGTTAAAATGCATCATGCCTGCTCCTCAGCCCAGCCAAACCCAGCTTTCTGGAAGGGGACTCTACACAGTTGGGTTGAGTGGGGACCAGAAACTCCAGGCCTGCGTGGAACCCAGAGCGGGCACTGCCCCAGCCTTCCTGTCCACCTGCTGGCTGAGGGCAGGCCTGACCCTAGGAGGATGCCTCACTCTGCACCGAGCAGCAGCTCCCGATCTCCCCACCAGGCAATGGGATGATCAGACTCACGGCTTTTCCCAGACTCCTTGTATGAGTCTTTCCTCCAGGGGCTGGGAGGCCACCTCTCCCCTATGCTCTGATGGTACCTGCTGAGCCTCTAGGTCCTGCCCTGCCCTGGGCCTCCTTTCTCAACCTTCTCTTGAGGAGGGTTCCATGGTAAGCCAGTGAGCTGCCGGGGCAGCAGTGTGTGGGAGAGGGGCTGGCCCTGGGACCCCAGCTCCTCGGCTGTACCCTGGAATGCGGAGCCTGCTCTCCCTCCCTTTTCTGCCTCTGGCCGTGCGGCCTCCCCGGGCAAAGCTGGGAGCCCCAGCAGAGGCTGGCTTCAGAGGGATGGGTGTGTGGAAGGATGTGTACATAGAATTGTTTCCTTCTCTCTTTTATCCTTTTTTGGTTGTTGTTTGCTTCTTTTGCTTTTGCCGGCTTTGGCTTATTCTACTTCCGATGCTGTTTTCTGGCCCTGTAAACTACTTCTGGAACTTCCATGTTTTTATTTATGAATAAAGACTGACGTTTCTCACGCCCTCTGGAGCCATCTGTGTCTGACCCCGCCTCTCGGTCCCCTCCCAGTGGCACATGCCAGGCCTTTGGGACTGCTACCTCTCCAGCCAGAAAGGGACCTTTCTGCCAGCAAAGCAAAGTGTGTGGGCCATGTGCCCTGCCCGCCCCTGAGGACGAACTCGGGAGGGTAGTGGGCAAGCGTAGCCTGGGGTCAGACAGACTTTAAACTGGGGCTTGCCACCTGTTTGGCCTCACCTGTAATGTGAGTCGATGTCAAGGTGTCCATGGGCACAAGGGTCTGAAAGGAGCCCGAGGCAGAAGGCTCCACCCCCACAGAATCTTCCTCTCCCCGAGTCTGCCCCGCTGCCTGCCTTCCTACTTGGCCTGTTGCATATAGCCTCTTTGGCAGGAGACCACGGGGGGCTATTGTTGTTACTACCCCCTGGGGGCCTCCGAGCCCGGAAGGTGTGGTCACCACCATGACCATCTGTCTAGCCTTCTCCATGGCAGCCTGCCTAGTTCGCTACTGACCAGCTTTCCTGACTGCGCCTGACTCAGATCTGGGACCCCAGGGAACTTCTGGTGAGAGGAAACAGAGGGTGAAATATAGGGGGTGGGGGCTGGACAATGCCAGACACCTGAGGGGTACAGCAGGGACCCTGGTGGTAGGCAGGGGATGGCCTTGGGGACAAGGGTGGGGTCTTCGTGTCCTAGAGCTGCTGTAACACAAATCCCACAAGGAGTTGGCTTTTTGAGAAATGTCACCGTCCCACATTTCTGGAGGCTGAGCATCTGAATCAGGGTCTCAGGGGTGTTGGTTCCTTCCTTGTCTTGCCAGTAGCCCCGGGCATTCTTTGTTTCCTTGGAAACCCTCAGCTTATCAACAACCTTCACACTGTGTCTACATTCCCCTTTGTGTGCCTCTGTGTCTTCAGTGATCTTCCTGTCACTCAGACGTGATTATGTTTAGGATCCACTGTGTACCTATCTAATAGGTGCAGATCTCGTTTCTCAAGAGGATCCACCTCCGCAGGTACAAGGGTCAGGGAATAATTGGGGGGGAAACACAATCCGGGAGCAATGGGGGAGAAGGAAAGAGGGAGGCTGTGCCCAGAAATAGCCTTGCCTAGCACATCACTGGCTGGGCAAAGGGCAGAGAACTCTCCCACGGCTGGAGGGCTCCCTGACAGTGTTCACAGCTGCAGGGCAGGGCTGGGGGGCCAGGCATGATGAACCTTCACTGCCCAAGAAAGCACAAGCAGCTGAGAAGGGAGGCCTGGGACGGGTGCCCACCTCTGTCCTGTTCCAAAGCCCCAACTCTTTACAATTCACCACAGAGGAGTGGGGATGGGGGCAAAGGGATCCCCTCGGAACCTACCCACTCTCCTAATCCTGGCCTATGGCTGGTAGGCTGTTAGATGGGTGAGCTCCCGTGAAACAGGCCTCCTGCTAGCCACACCTGTCAGCTTCCTCCTCTGTTGTCTGGGAAACCTGAGCTGCCAGGTTAGAAGCCCAGCTACCCCGCTGGCGAGGCCACATGTTGCAGAGGGGCTCCATCCAGCCTCAGTCTCAGATGGGCAGCTGCATGGCTGACTCCCGGACACCAGACACCACGTCCAGCCCAGCAGGGGCCTCCCCAATTTGCCCTGCCCGAGTGCTCAGCCATAGACTCAAGCACATAGTATGACTGTTCTAAGCCACTGAATTCCAGGTTGTGAGTCTGAGTTGGCTGGGTGACCCATAACTGGTAACAGTGAATTAGATACGTGTTGGACTGCTAACTACGAGGTCAGCAGTTTGAGCCCACTAGTCTCTCCATGGGAGAAGGATGTGGCTTTCGGCGCCCCTTTAAAGAGTGACAGCCCGGGAAGCTCCCAGGAGCAATTCTACCCTGGCCTTAAGAATCAGTTTGAGTTAAAATTGCCTGGATGACACACATTATTTAACAGAAATCCAAAGAAAATACCAAACTCACAGCCATTGAGCCAATGCTTCTTAGAACCTGTAGGACAAGGTATATCTGCCCCGGTGAGTTGCTGAGACTAACTCAGTGGGAGTAGAAAATCCCATCTTGCTCCCGAGGAATGGCTAGTGGTTTCAGACTGCTGACCTTGCAGTTGGCAGCGCAATGTATATCCATTACACCACCAGGCCATCGAAGTAGTCAGCGCCCCCTGCAGCAGTCTCCTTTCATGCCACCTGCCAGGCACCCTCCAGTGAAAGGTCACAGATAATATGGAAGCAAATCACAAAACCCGTAGCCTCAAGTCCATTCTAACTCCTGGTGACCCTACAGGACAGAGTAGGTCTGCCCCGAGGGAGTCTGGGAGTCCCAGGCTGCAGTCTTTACAGACGCAGGCTGCCCCTTCTTTCTCCCAAGGAGTGGCTGGTCAGTTCAACCACCACCATTTTTGTTAGCAGCCATGCACTGGGACCACAGTGCCACCAGGGAGCCTCATATAAAGGTCAGGCCCCTAATAAAAGGTTGGGGCCATGGGAAGGACACATCTAGTTGGAAGCAGGCTGGGCAGTGAAGGCGTTTCCGCAGCTCTACCTGCAGAGAACAGACACCCAGGGACCTCCCTTCCTGCAGCAGCCAGTGTGCTGTTGAGGACGCAGGCTTCCTGGAGTTCCCCCAACCTGATCATTAGAGAAAAGATAAAGACTGATGGTGCCCAGCTATCAAAAAGTATAGCGTCTGGGGTCTTAAAGGCTTGAAGGTAACCAAGCGGCCATCAAGCTCAGAAGCAACAAAGCCCACATGGAAGAAGCACACCAGCCTATGCAACCACGAGGTGTCGAAGGGATCAGGTATAAGACATCATCAGAACAAAAAATCTTACCATAGTGAATGATGGGGGGAGGCAAGAGGCGGAGTGGAGACCCAAAGCCCATTAGTAGGCCACTGGAGATCCTCTTGCAGAAGGGTCTCGGGGAGGAGATGAGCCAGTCAGGGTGTGATGTAACAACAATGAAAAATACAACTTTCTTCTAGTTCCTAAAAGTCCTCCCCGCTCCCACTACCATGACTCAAATTCGACCTTGCAAGTCTGGCTAGACCAGAGGATGTACACTGGTACAGATAGGAACTGAAAATCCAGGGAATCCAGGGTGGATGAGCCCTACAGGACCAGTGGTGTGAGTGGCAAAACAAGGAGGGTAAAGGGAGAATGGGTAGGAAAGAGGGAACCGGTTACAAGGAACTATATGTGACCTCCTCCCTGGGGGATGGACAACAGAAAAGTGGGTGAAGGGAGACGTCGGACAGGGCAAGATATGACAAAATACCAATTTATGAACTATCAAGGGCTCATGAGGAAGGGGGGAGCGGGGAGGGAGGGGAAAAATGAGAACCTAATGCCGGGGGTGGGGGGTGCGGTGGGGGGGGTGTTTAAGTGGAGAGAAAATGTTTTGAGAACGATGAGGGCAATGAATGTACAAATGCGCTTTACACAATTGATGTGTGTATGGATTGGGATAAGAGTTGTATGAGCCCCTAATAAAATGATTTAAAAGAAAAGATGAAGGGATGACAAAATGGAAATGAGAGCGAGGGAGCTAGCAAGCAAGCGGGGACTCCTGTTTCCCCTGACAGCTGAGGCTCGTCCCCAGCCTCGGGCTATTTTTATTGAGCTTACCCTGGTGCACACCGTGCATGTGAGGAGAGGCAAGTTGCCAATCCAAATTTCTCAGCATTGGGTACTTCCTGTGTTATTTGAGGAAGGTCCTGTTGACCTACAGCCAGGCATCACCAGGCCTGGAATACCACCATATTAGTTTATCATTCATCCAGGGACTCACTTGAGCAGGCACGTATCCTATCACTCAGCGAATAGATTTATGCCCAGACCTGTTCTAGACACCAAGAGTGCAGAGGTGAACAACAGGCTAGGGCCCCTCCCCGCGTGGAGCTTACATTCTACAAGTAAACCAATGTCATTAGGAGTCATTGGGTTCTCACCTGGGAATGATCGGCCCTTTTTACAAGCATCTGGGAGACATGACCAGCTATTGCCCGCCCTCATTTGGAGACCCCTGTCCCCTTGCCTTGGGATTTTTATCTAGGGGTTTCGGCCGACTTCCTTAAGTGACTTAGTTCCCCACGTCTAAGCTCGGCTTCCCTTGTTACTGCAGAGCAATGTGTACAATACCACCAGACATCTCTCCATCCACAATAAGCTCCTTCCCAGGAAGGCCTTTAAAAAGCCTTGAACATTCCTCTTCCTCTCATGGAAATTAAAAGGCAAACTTTGTGAAATGTCACAGTCCTTATATGGATGATAAAATTAAAATAGCTTCTTTCTAGGTAACTTGGTTGAAGATATTGTTCAGCTTCAATGAAGACAAATCCAGATTTCTCTCAAGTCTCCCTCCCACCCTCCATTTCCCCCTTGCTCTTTCTGGGGTTTGGGGTGGTGGTTTTGTCTTGTGAGCGCTCAAGTGTTTTGGTGGGAGGGCTTGCTCTGCTGAGAGCCTGAGCAGAAGTTGGGTCCGCTTGTGGCATAATACTTGTAGCAACCCTTAAGACAGGGTGGACCTGTTCCTGTGGGTTTCTGAGACTATAATGAATTCATTTTAAAAAATAGCATTTTATTGGGGGCTCGTACAACTCATCACAATCCATACATACATCCATTGTGTCAGGTACATTTGTTGCCATCATCATTCAAGACCTTTTCTTTCTACTTGAGCCCTTGGTATCAGCTCCTCACACACACACCCCTTCCTCCCTCCCTCTCATGTGAACCCTTGATAATTTATAAATTATTATTTTGTCATGTTGTACACTGTCTGATGTCTCACTTCACCCACTTTTCTGTTGTCCGTACCTCAGGGAGGGGGTTATATGTTGATCCTTGTGATTGATTTCCCCTTTCTCCCTTAATCTTCCCCTCCTGGTATCACTACTCTCATTATTGGTCCTGACGGGTGTATCTGTCCTGGATTCCCTGTGTTTCCAGCTCTTACCTGTACCCCTGTACATCTCTGGTCTAGCCGGATTTGTAAGGTAGAATTGGGATC